GAAGTGTGATTTTTGGATGTGCCACTCTGATAGTGCAGACGCTTTTCAACAGCATGTTCACATAACTTTAGGTAGTTGATGTGTTGAGAGGAGATATCGTTTCGCTCGGTTACGATGTTGTTATGGACAAAGGAACGTGGGATGCAATGAGTTTATCGTCAGAAAAAGAGGATCGCTTAAAACGGTACCGTAACTGTGTCATAAATATCACAAGAGCAAATGGATTATTCATTATATTTTCGTGTAATTTCACCAGGTTAGTGTTTTCATTGCTTTGTTTCTTCTTATTCTTTGAACTACTCAGTACAGCTGTATTTTGGTGGAAATGGATGTTGAATTGAATTAAATTAGTGGCTTTTTGAAAGTTTGATATTTGCTCATAAAACTATTTTAAGGGAGGAATTGAGGAAGCAGTTTGAATGTAAAGAATTGGTGTTCGAAACCGAAATAGCATCTGCTAATTCAATAACATTCGGTGGTAAGAGTGGTGTCACTTCAACTGGTGCAGTATTTAGACGTGTCTCGTAGTTGTTGTTAGTTTTGAGAAGTTTGGAATTTTGTATTCCATTTATGTATGTATTTATGTATGGATACTGTCGCAATGGTTTTATTTTTATGAAGNATTGATATTTGTTGTGACAACTTTGAATAGGACCTAACTATTAGCAACAGTTTCGAATATATCCTTCCGTATTGTTGATTTGTAAAAACACGTTTCCGTATTTGAAAACGATTTTGCCACTCGTTCATTTCCAAAATCTTCTGCTATGGCAGTACAATGCAACATTTGTGTGCTATTGAAGAACAGAAATTATAAAGGCTCCTATTCGAAGAGTATTCACAATTCTCCACGCCATAAATGATGAATCGCTCAACGATGAATGTGATGTCAGGTTGCAGTAACGTTTATTGTATAAAAAGAGATGTCAAAAGAATGTGCTCCTGCTAATTTGTAAAATAATCGACTCTTTTCATCATTATTGTTTCATTTCGCCCTCATTTTGTTCCTTTGTACAAAAATAAATTTTCCAATAGACTCGGAATCGGTATCTTAACACAATTCTTCAATGCATCATCAGTTTCGAAGCAAAACGATAGCATACAGGGGACTTCCACTGCAAAAGTAATCCAACGAAACAGGTTCAGCTGATGAGAAAGGAGAATAATCAAACTTATTGGGTGAAAAGCGAGAAGCAGTAAATGCACGAAACGATAAAGAAGAAAGAATAAAAGATATTTTGTAGGAAGGGAATACTCTTGAGCTAAAATAGTGGCATTTTAAAATAATAGTATATTTCTAAACATCAGCAGTGATTTAATGCTAAATTGAAGGCTAGTCTATCAGTTTAGATTACAGAGATCGTTCAGTGCTGTTTGAATTGATCTGAAAGGTCATTGCAAAGTCTAATGAGTTTGGGACTGAAATGTTTGGGACTCGTTGAAACGTGAATCATTGTTTATTCGTTCAACATTGCCTGACACTGTAAACGAATTCATTGAGTAAGCGACTCCGGTTAGCGGTTGGTAAATGCGCACAAAATCCACTTTATGTTGGATTTGAAACGGAAAGAGAATTTTCCGCAC